TTCTAAATTAAGCACCATTGCTTCAGATACTGAATCATCAGACATCACTCCCCCTTTTCTATGCCAGTTTAGTATCCGACGATGTGTATTTCCCCCCATTCATTAACCTTCTTTGTAGTTCTCATGATCATGTATTTCTGGAGATGTCCTCTCATTATGCTCCACTCATTAAATGCTAACTGATTCCATATGAGTTACATGGGTATAATAGGGAATCTATGTTATAGGGAACAAGCTCCCTAGCTTCACTGATCACTCTCACAGTCAATTTAGAAATTTCCACAGTAGATGATAAAGAAGATAGGAGAGCTTCTTCTTATTTCAAAAAATCAGTGATGTAATGACATGTGGGTGGCAGTTATTGAACACCCACTAAACCAGGAATTAGTTGCATAGGAAGATTTTGCAGGATGCCAACATATCTAAAGCAAATATTGTCAAAGATACCACCAATAATGAACCCCAAAAAAGTACACCTGGGCTCCTGGAGCACTTGGTGAAGCTTCCAGCTGCCCCTTCCAGAAGGGGGCTGCTACTCTCTCCTTGGAGATGCCCTCCCAACAGCAGGGTGAGCATGGGTGGCACCAACAGAAGCCAAAGCATCTGGCATACATGTGGCCCATTTATTCCATGCCATTGATGGCATAGGGAAGGAAATAGGGGTCACAAGAGGCAGAGAGTTTATTCAGGACCAGCAGTGATGGGGCAAAGTGAGAAGCAGAGACCAAGCACTCCACACACAATGTGTTCGATATTACACCTTAGGTGCTAAGTGTCCAACAGGAGACAGCACCATGTCCTGCTTTAGTTGCTCAGCCTGATAGCCTCTCATGCAGCATGCTAGGTTGGCTTCTAGTGGATTTATTAATGGAATATAGCTGGTTATGAACAAATCATCACAAGCACATGTGTATGACGTATGAAGAATGAAAAAGAGGGTGGTAAGAAAATAATAGAAACAGAAAAGACCACACTCAGCACTTTAATTTCTTCCCAACCATGCAGAAAACTGACCCACAACTGACTACATACACAGTGCATTCCTGTCTTAGCAATATTCAAAGGGCAGCAATCCACACTGCTGCATTAATATTATATTCCCTGGCCCCCGACCATCAGCACCTGAAGAGTACTCAAAATGAATGCTAAGCACTCTCTTCTAACCTTTAGATCCCACATGCACTTTTCCCCTTCTGTAAGCTCACTCATGCCCTTGGAAACCATCCCTAGACTCCTCTTATCCCTGTGTTTACAGCAAATGCATCCCCTTTTCAATGATCTGCTTGGAAAAGAGTGAGTAACTGTATTCATCATTCTCAATCCAAAAGAGATCACCAACACACCTCTTATCACATAAAGTGACCCCAGGTGGCCTTCCAAAGTTAGAGAGTGATGACCAAAGAAAATACCTAGACATTTGGGTAATCCGCTCTCTGATTCCATAAAAATCTAAGATCCTACCTCAGAGCATCCTAGCACATTCCACAATAAGGTGGCAGTGGGATGGGAGTGTTGTAAATACCTGGTGAAGCTGGTGAGGACACAGTCAAGTAAAGCTGATTAATAGTGGATTTCCATGATCCTGAGTAGTGACCTCTGGGGAATCAGTTAATCCAGGTTCACTTGCATTAGCTTCTGCCACAGTGGAGGCCATTCCCTCTGGCCAGACAGAGCTGCACTCTCTTCCCAAGGGAAAGGCTAGAACTGTTTCTTGATATTTCATCACAGAACTTCTTATCTAGCCAGGGCTCCCTCTAGAGAAGTAACAAATAGTGCCATGGCATCTAGAGGCATTCTCTTCCAAGTCAGTGGCTTATTCTGATTAGAGAAAATTGTATTTAAAATATGCTCTTTAAAACATACAAACATTCAGGACTTTTCAGAATTATTCATCTATCAAATTCATTGGAAAAACAAGGAGACATGAGAAGCAGAAAGGAAAGTAGAGTAAGAGAAACTGAAGGGAAGGGCCCAGCGGAAAGGAAGAGGGAAAGGGGAAGGAAAAAAAAAAAACAGTGATGGAGAAAAATACAAGCCATACATGCTTTAAAATTCTTCACATGAGTATATTAAGGCATTGCATTAGGGAAACTGAAATTTCTTATACTTTATTTCTCCAGGGAGAACAATTTAAAGAAAAAAAAATCTTGCTTGGGAAGCAGGACATTAGTGAATGTAATGATCCAAGACTTTTCATACACCAAAATCACCCAATGGGTGCATTACTTATATGATTTGTACTCATTACCGATCATTAGACACAGACTTTACAGCTTATGATTTCCAATTACAGATGAAGCAAAATTTAACACATTTGCAGCGATTTAGGACACTATTCTATAAATAATTCTTCCTAAAGTACATTTCCATGAGCTCCAATCAGCAACTGGAGCAGACACTTCCATGGGGTGTGAGGATCGCTCCACAGAGCCACATGGGTGAAGGCCAGACACCAACTCATGTGCATGAGATGGGAGAGGCAGATGATGCAGAAGTTACAGTTAAGTGAGGTCAGTCAAAATGTAAGAAGGAGGACAGATATCTGTAAAGAAGGAGAGGATGGTGAGAATGGCTGATATTGAAGAGAACATGCTACAGTAAAATAATTCATTTAATTTATAAAGTTTTAGTGTTAACACTGTATAAAAAACTCAGCATATAAAGATACACCTCAAGGTGTGAGAACTCTTGATTGAGTGCGTTGAGAAAAGATCAAGCTAAGCCCTACAAATCTGGTTAAATAATTTCCTTCCCCAAAATTTTTCCTCATATTTGGGCGTTTTGCCTTTTTTGCATCTAAAATTAGTGGAAATCAGTGTCAAGAGCAGTATGTGATACCTCTGCTATTCATGATGCACTAGAGAAATGACTACTCTGTTATAACAGGGCTATGTGATGCCCATCCAGAACACCAATCTATAAAGCACCTTTCATTAAAGATTATTTGTTGTTAAAAGACATCCCTCATTAGTGTGTAGCCTCTTCCCTGCAAGAAAGAATCCTCCTTTAAGGGTAATGTCATGGCACAAGACCACCCTGGAGTAAAAGTGTGTATGGGGCAGGCTTCATTTTCCCTTCTGCACAGTGACAAATTAATTCTTTTTTTTTGTACTGGGGATTGATCTTGGGAACTTGCACTTGTGAAGCAGACACCAGAACCACTGAGCTAAATCCCTGGCCCAGTGATGAATTAATTATAATAACACCTTACAGTACAAAGCACATTCCTTAGCCAAATGGCATTTGCACTGGTTAGTTAGCTCATTCTCTCTCAGTACTACCCTATAAAGTAATAACTGCATTAGAACAGCCTAATTTAGTATATTAAAAAAACAGGGATACAAGAAGACAAATTAATGTATCCAACCTGACACAATAAATATCTTTAATTGTAGCATATGTATTTATCCTGGGAAGCGTTTCTGTGATGAGAATACAGTTGCCTTGACATCAGCCATTCTTTCCTGTCCATTTAGGAGGTGGACCCATCATTTCCACACCATAACAGCCACATCTTCTGATCATGATCTATTTCATTCTCTTCATGCCTCAAGGGGAGGAAATAAAATTCAAAGAGAGTGAGGGCCTGGGAAGAGGAATCCCAGGACACAAGGTCATGGCACTGTCTGAAACTCAACTCCAACTCGTTGTTCCAAGCTGGGGTCACCAATAAAGACAGGACATTTAGGGTTAAGAAACAATGTCATCCTGCACCCCATCGTCTGGAAATGCAAAACAGAAAAATAAATGAAAATTCCATATCACGCTGCTTCCTTTCTTTTCCAAGAGGAGAAGCTTAGAATTTTCTAAAACACATGTCAACTTCCAGATAAGTCTTGTAATATATTTAGATAACTAAATTGTTTTAAAATGAACTTTTAGGTAGGTGCATTTTGTTCTTTGTAATGATTGAAATCTCAGACACTGAAATATAAGATCAGAAATTCTGAAGTTATAGGAAAATGGAAACACAAGTGGTCAAAACTAAATAGAGAAATAAGTACAATTTTATCCACTTTTTCAAAAAAATAATGTTTAATACAAAAGAGAAACAGTGTTGGAATAATTAAATATACTAAGCTAAATTAAAATATGAAAAATAGAGAAAGGGAAGCAATGTACATTCTTTTCTCAAGAAAAAACGTGTAACTCTCAATGAAGTTCCATTATTCTGTATGAGGATTCAAAGTACAATAAACTTATATATGGGGAAAGAGGTGCCTTGTATTTTCCCAGTTTTTCCTATTAAACTGTATCATCGGGAGTACAGTACATGGGCAGTAAATAATGAAGGAGCAGTTCATTTTTACCAACACCACACAATCACATTTTAAAGACTCAATTCATAGTTCTAGGATGATTTTAGCAAAAACACTATAGCAAAACATAAATGTAGATCTCAAAGTCCTGGTCTCTGTCAAAGTGTGACACATATCTTTGTGGCTACAAGCAGTGTTGACAGAATCGAGTCAAGAACACACTGCATAGAGTCAGAACTATTTTTTCCAACAAGGAATGATGGCCTGATGGAAGGAAATATTTCTATAAATGCCAAAAAATTATGTGGGGGAAAAGTCAGTGTGACACTGAAGTAATATGTGGAAAAGAGTCAAAATCAAGTGTGGGGAACTGCTTCCTGGTAGGGGTCAGTGTGGGGGAGAAGATGGTAAAGGAGCTGATGGGAGCAGCTGAGTCTCCTATGCTGGGACTGCTGGGCAGCCAGGAGGCTGCTAGGAAGACAGGGCTTTGTGGAAGCAAAGGAGGACTGCTGAGATCTCCACTTCACTCTCCAACCATGAAGGACCAGTGCTCAGATCACTCACAGCTTCCAAACACACAGACCAACTTCCCCAAACTTCAGCCTTCCAAGTCCCAAGCATACCCTACAGAGCTGGCCCTGGTGACATGTGGAGTCTCCACACAGAGGGACAGTTACACTTGAAGGGAATGACCAGGCCCCGCTTCCTGGTTAGCAAACCTTTGGCAGAAAGCAACAGTCTTCAGAAAGTAGTCACCTTCCCTGAGGACAGGCACCTGTCCAGCGCCTTCCTCAGGGCCCCTGCCATGTCTCTGTTCCTCAGGCTGTGGATGAATGGGTTGAGCATGGGTGTGAGGATAGTGTAGAAGGCAGACATGGCCTTGTCCTGCTCAGGAGTGTGGTAGGAGTGGGGGAGCACGTGGCGGCCCGGTAGAAGAGGGTGACAACCACCATGTGTGAGGAACAGGTGGCCACTGCCTTCTGCTGGCCCTCGGCCTCTCGCATGCTGCACACAGCCAGCAGGATGCAGGCATAGGAGGCCGAGATGACAGAGAAGGGGATGAGCAGCATGAAGATGCAGCACACATACATGGCTCTCCTGTAGTCCGAGGTGTCACTGCAGGACAGCTTCAGGAGCACGGGGACCTCACAGAAGAAGTGGTTGCTCTCCCAGGGTTCACAGAAGGGGAACTGCATGATGACTGGGGTCAGCAGGAAGCCGTCCACAGAGCTGCCCATCCAGGCCGCCTCCACGATCAGCAGGCAGACCCTGCGGCTCATTAGCACTGGGTAGCGCAGCGGGCTGCACACAGCCACATAGCGGTCATAAGCCATGAGGCCCAGCAGGAAGAACTCGGCCCCTGCCATGGTCAAGTAGAGGAAGTGCTTGGCTGTGCAGCCTGTGAAGGAGATGGCCCGCTGGCCCATCGCTTCGTCCAGCAGCATCTTGGGCATGAAGATGGAGATGTACAGGATGCCCATGAGGGAGAGCTGGCTGAGCAGGAAGTACATGGGCATGTGCAGCCGGGGGTCCAAGCGGATGAGCACGATCAGGGCAGTGTTGCTGGCTGTGGAGATCAGGAAGACCAGCAAGATGAGCACAAAGATGAGCCAGGGGACCCTGGTGCTGCTGAACAACCCCAGGAGGACAAAGTCTGAATACATGGAGTAATTGCCCCACTCGGCAGTCCTGTAGGTGACACAGTAGAGAGAGATGGTGGGACAGCAAGTTGGGGAATGTCAGGTGATGGGGTCCTGGGCAGCTCAGCAGATGTACAGATGTTATTCTCCTCTTAGAAAGCTCGAATCTCAATTCCTAGGAGAACATCCTGAGCAGGGCTGTGCTATGTCAAGTCACACCACCATTCCCTCAAGAATCCACTCAAGAAGGACGTGCTGCTTGCTGACTATTGCTGGCTGGCTACCTCTAAGAGGTCACAAGGAAACCTGTCTATGACTATGGTTTATGGGGATTAATTCTCTCTCTCTCTCTTTCTGTCTCTCAAAATATCACCTTGAAACTGATACACAGAGAAGAGTAAAAATTGAACCACCACAAATAAATAGAAATGGAACAGTAAAGGCCCTGACGATGCCCCCTCCCCTTTCCTGCACATTAGACTCCAGCTTTCACACTGAGAATCCTGAGTGAGAGCCACCCAGCAGGAACATGTGTTTTGCCTATGGAGAGATAGTCACATGGATTTTTACCAATTTATGTCATTCTCAACAAGTTTTTAAATTGTAAAATTCAATTGCTTAACATATTTTCTAGGTATTTTTCTCTTAAAGATAATGATTTCATGCTGAAGAATAAACCGCAAGAGCTATGAGGTGTGAGAAGAAATATAGCAACCTGAAAACTAGTAGAAAAGAGTTATCAAAGGAAAAAAAAATCATACTTATGATCAAAGGGTATTTATTTTCCCTCTTTTAGCAAAAAATCCTACTGCTTATTAACATACAACTTAACATGATTATTTGAAATGGGAGTAATAAATAATATACAAGGTTCAATAAAAAAGCAGAGATGACTAGATTTAAATAATACTAGATGACATTGTCTCTCAAAAGAGACTTTACTCTTAGGAGCTAGAGTATACATATATATTTTACCACATATGTAGGTTGCATGGACAATCTCTCTTGGCATCATTTGGATCTGTATTATCTACTGTTGTAACCAGGAGTTCTACAAAGCCATGGAGCCCAGGAAACATGACTTCAAACCTGAGATGAGCTATAGCTATAAATCATATTAAAGATTCAAAGACATAGTGAAAAAAGGTATACAATTATCTCATAAAATTTCTTATTACTTGCTAAATCACAGTATTTTGCTAGATAAATTAGTTTGACCTGCTCATTGTTGCACTTTTAATGTAGCTACTAAAACAATTTAAATGACCTGTGAGGTTGCCATAAGATTCTACTGAAACCTCTGGTGTAGGAGATTCCCAAAACAGGACAACACCAAGTACATTCATTCAAACAAATTCCCCAGAATTGAACACACCCAAAATGTATATGAAATTGAGCAAAAAGAAGTATGTGTAGTGCCAAATTAGAAAAAACGTTATCATCTGAGCAGGAGCCCATTTGTTAAAAGTAAGTGCACACTAATTACCCAGTGTGGAGGATTTCATAGATATTATTTAAATTACTTTCCCCACAACTTTGTGAGATACCAGAGCACTGCTTTATCTATTCCATGATGCAAAACAGTAATTTATAAATAGGTTCAGGCTCACCTGGGCAGTGGCTCCTGCTAACTAGTGGTGGCCTATTTGTTCTGTCCAGTTTTCCAGTGACCCAAAGCACACATCAATCCACTCATTCCACAATTATTTCCTGAGCCACACTGGATAAGTCAGAACTTTAAATTCTGAATGGACCTAAAACACCACATGGTCCTTGCCTTCAAGAAGCCTGAGATTGAATCATGCATGGCCTGAGGTGGGCACTGTGAATGGTTTGGATGAAAACTTCCAGGGCTCTGACCTCTGCCTTGCTGGTAAGTAATAGAGAAGAAGAGGGCAGAACACTGCAGGTAAAGGACAGTGGCAGTCATGAAAGCTGGAGCCTAGGGCCTGGGCGAGCTGGCTGAATGATGGATGTATAATGGCAAAAAGTAAATTCTCTGCTAAAATTTCATTGATGAGACTCATGCGATGTATTTTTCAGCTTCCTCATTATTGAAACTTTTCCAACTCTACAGCAGAGCTTTTCACCAGCTGTTTTTCTGATGTGCATCCTTGTTCACCCATGGGGGTAAACCACTGGTGAAATTAAAACCAAGCATTCAGCAGCAACCCACAAGATAGAGTGAACTAAGTGCCCACCCAGCCCTGCCCTCACAATTTAATTGGGCTTGTTGTTACTTTACTGTAAATTCTGAAGATGGCAGGTTGCCATTGGAAAGCAAGCACAGTTACTGCTGCTGGCTGTAGGGAATGTTAACCTCCAAGTGGGATGAAGCAGGACATGGGTGTCCCTGGCCCTGACCACCAAAATCCTGAGGCTGAAGCTTGCTAATAAGACTCTGGAGAGCTCCCTATTTTTCCTCACAAAGGGAAAGGAGAGTTTTGGATCTTAAGAGTATCTTGCTCTAACTGCAAGTGTTAATTCATGTCCTGTATTTAAAAAATTACAAATAAGATAAACACACTAAAATGTGCATGGACAATAAGAAAAAGGAAAGACCAACCAGATACACCATGCCTCTATATAGAAATGGTTATGTCCATGAATAAATTTATTAATTTGTTTTTGGGGTGCTGGCAATCTGGACAAGAGGCCTACTACTGAGCTTCACCCAGCACCATGTGTAGCCTTGGACTTCAGTGCATGTTCACTTTTGCATATACCTGATAGTGTTTAATATACAGTATCTTTGTGTGTACAGTATCTACTCAGAATGTTGCTATGGTTGATGATGCCCCATGCACCTTCTTAATTTTTGCTCATTTGACTTATATGCACATCGCTTCTAACTTTGCCCTCAAAATATGATATTGTGAGGTTAATCCTCTCAATCAGCCATGAAAGGGAGGTCCACAGGCTTTAGCAGCACCTCACCAAACTGTTAGACAAAGCTGCTGGTGGGTGATTCTAACCAACAACCAAGCACACACACGGCACTGTGCTTGCTTCTGTATTTAGCAGTAGCATCTAAACTTATTTCAAAGGAACTGGTGGGGCCAGGTGTTTCCACTGCTTACCTCACAAGCACAAGGTCCCAAGTTTGATCCCTGGTACCAAAAAAAATCAAAAACAAAAACAAAAAATACAAAG